AGAATTTCTGAAATTTGGCTTTCAGAAATGCAAACCCTTAGGGGCAGGGAGGTGTAGGTTTATGCAAATTTTTATCCTAAGATTTTAGGTTACAAAGCATCAGATACAGTTTTTGCTGCAGTAAGAAGCATCGGTGTTTTTTTGAGTCAAAACAATAGTTTTAATTAATGAATGCAAGTCAGGTACTTCGGAATCCGAGCATAGTCTGAATAGGGTGGCGGTCAAAGTTTAGTATAAATACTTATTTTCTTTCATAATTCTTTGTTTTATTGCAATTGCTCTATGATGATAGGTCAGTAGATTTTAATAAAATCCGCCTTTAGCTACCGAAGTTTGTAATGATCCTGGTACCGAATGCAGTGAAACGTACATAATTATTATGATACCGGGGCTGCATTAATTCATAAAGGTCCGGTAAAGAACGTCTGGAAAATAAGGTACAATTATATCAGTCAATAATGTAAAGGAAGTAGTAAGTATTTTGAAAAGCTAAGGCAGCAAGTAACCATGAGCTTTTTCTAAAATTATCCTTCCATGAGAATTTAGGTAATACGCCGAAAGAGGTGATAAAATATTAATAGCTTTGTAAGAAGCAACAAAAAGTTTGGAGGGGTTGAAAGCGACCACTGGTAGCATTGCTAGCACTAATAAACAAGTGCGAGGATGAAAAAATTGTTACTTGCAGAAAGTCGGACGCAGTATTTCTGATCTATTGGTTATTGCCAATTGCAAAAATTTACTCTCGTTTACAATGCCATTGACGGTGGATTAAGACCACTTTGCCTGATTTGTTTTCATTTATTCAGATTGACGATGATTTACAGAGATTCATGATCATTTGAGCTGACTTACGATGACTTTATCAGATTTATGATTTTTGACGATTGTCGAACACTCACACTGATTCACGATAATTAACACTGTTTCATGGTGATTAATGCTTATTCACAGCCATTTGTATCTATTCACAATGGCCAGTGGTCCAAAAGGGCGTTGTCCCTGACACACCTTTTGTCCCCCCTCCTCCCTTTTCCTAGGCAGGAGCCGCCACTGACAACGGCTCATGATTATGCAGAGATATTGAAATTTTGAAAAGGTTATTGTTTCATTCGAAGTTTCATAGTTAGAAAAAATGGTTTGTGATCACTGTTATTAGATTCTAAAACACCATAACATGATACAAGGCGAGGCACATTCGTATAGAAATGATCAAACAGTGTATCGTAGTCAGCTGTATATTAACTGATTAAATGTGTATAGCACTCATAGTCGATCTCGATCATATATGACAAGTCGATTTTGCGCAGATTTTCTTCTTTCAAAATCACATTGAAGTCGCCTTATATCACAATAGGGTCAGAAACACCTTCGTGTGCACTCTTTTTTTCTAAGAAACAGGTTATAAGAAACGGTAGGGTTAATTTTTCGAAAGTTAAGAAACAACCCTACCCAAATTGAAAAATGTTAAGAAAATTTTATAATTTGCATTTTAATTTTCCGAGTTGGCACTCGAAACAGTCTTGACATTGAACATTACTGTATATTGCAACACTACACGTGGCATGCAGTTTGCATTCATTCTCAGTAAATCGCACACTAAAGAAGTTCCCTTTTATAGATTTGTTTCGACTTCAACTTGACATTAATGAAGTTCAATGAGCTTAACTGTTTACACATCTCAACAGAGTTAGTCATTCTAGGTAAACAAAATTTACTTTGTTGGTTTATCTCTAAATATGAGTGAACTATTTACTTTACCTCGGTAGGACGTTAATAAGTTCATTACCTAAGATATTAAAGAAACATGTAAGTAACTTTTGATAGCTAAATGGCCAGAAAATTTAAGAAACTGCCTACCAACACTGGAGCATAGTTTCTTATAAAAAAATAGTTATATGTGCTATGCAAGTATTCTAGGGCTTCAATCAGCTGGTCGATGGTAGCATTGTGCAAACGAGAGCGATATAAAGTTGCAACATGAACTTTAAGCAAACAGTTTGTCTTGCTAATGACGTTGAGTTGAGTCCACGCCATTTCGTAGCCGTAAGCGGGAAGCTAATTAGAGAAAAATGGGAATTCCGCGCTTGGCATTCTGAAACTGCAACAACATAACCCCCAGTATCAAAACCAAAAAAACGTGTCGTTCGGCTGCCGCCAAAGGGTCCACCTGATGCATCAACCCGTTCTGGCGAAGATGTGCCAACTTCCTTTTTGGCACGGCCAAAATAAAGATTTGCAAAATTGACTTAGTGATAACGTTGAGTCAACATCATTTCGTAGTCGCAAGCAATAGAAAGCGGGAAACTAATTAAGGGAAAATGGGAATTCTTCGCGTAGCATTCTGTTCCGGAAACCGTTTCACATCGTTGGTTTGTTACTTACTTACTTACTTACTCACTTACTTACTTACTTACTTACTTACTTACCTACTTATTTACTTACCTACTTACTTACTTACTTACTTACTTACTTACTTACTTACTTACCTACTTATTTACTTACCTACTTACTTACTTACTTACTTACTTACTTACTTACTTACTTACCTACTTATTTACTTACCTACTTACTTACTTACTTACTTACTTACTTACTTACTTACTTACTTACTTACTTACCTACTTATTTACTTACCTACTCACTTACTCACTTACTTACTTAGTTACTTACTTACTTACTTACTTACTTACTTACTTACTTACTTACTTACTTACTTACTTACTTTCTCACTCACTCACTTACTTACTTACTTACTTACTTACTTACCTACTTATTTACTTACCTACTTACTTACTCACTTACTTACTTACTTACTTACTTAGTTACTTACTTACTTACTTACTTACTTACTTACTTACTTACCTACTTACTTACTTACTTACTTACTTACTTACTTACTTACTTACTTACTTACTTACTTACTTACTTACTTACTTACTTACTTACTTACTTACTTACTTTCTTACTTACTTTCTTACTTACTTACTTAAAGTGTCCCCCACCACTCTTATATATACATAATCTTCGTACAGAAAAATAATGTTTTCACCAAGAAATAAGAGGTTGCATGAGTGTAGCCACTGAACAATTTCCTCGACCATGCCCTTTCAAATATCTGCAAAAACTTTCTTTGAAAAAAGTGATTTTATTAAAAAAACTATTATGATTATTAATTGAGCTTATTAATTAAAAACCTTACTGAAAGTTTTTTAATTTTCCATAGAATTCAGTGCTCACTTCAAAATTAAGAATTCAGTTTTTGTCAAATTCTTCACGTTTTGAAATAGCAGAAAAACAATAAGACAGGGAATTGACTGAAGCTCTTTCCAAAATCTTTTGTTGTGGATGCTAAATTGGTCCTTGCCCTCCTTTCCAACTATTGCCAGAGTCAATGTTTATGCACTGGAGGTTGGGGGCTGGCGGAGGGGCTGGAAATCATTTGATGTGATAAAACGTGGCTGGAGCGATGTTGTTAAACAAGAGAGCACGCCCTAAACTATAGAGACTTCAAGTTATTGCGCCTATGGTGCGTTGCAAATGAGTGCACGTTTTAAATTCCGAGCCTCGGATTTCTTAACGCCTCAAGAAGATAGATAAATGTATCCCTTTTAGTTTTCACTTTTTGTGCCACAGCATACTTTTCAAAGGATCTTTTAGATTATTTTGATTATGACACCTGGACTTGTTTGGTGCGACTGCCGTTTCAAACATCGAACTCAACTGTTTTTATATGAAGTTTTTCAGTTTATTGGTTTCGGGCATTCAAGATGGCCCGAAAACATGCGCTTCGCGTTTGTGAGAAGACTGCTGATGGAATCCAGAAGGACGAGGAGATGGCAGAAGCAAAATTGAAAGTTTTAGTGAAGCAAAGAAGAAGGAGAGTTCAAGTAGTGCTACTTGCTGTCTTGTTGTTGACAGCTTCGAGGAAACTGACAGCAGCCCAAAGATTTCAACGTTACCAGGGTTGGTAGAGTATCGTCTGGAATAGGATACTGAGAGGCAAGAGAGCAATCACAACAAACCTTCGCATGTGCAATCGCCATATTGGCTTTGTTGTTTCCATGTTAATTCCCGCCGAAATTCAATTATAGGCATGCGCTCTTCACGAAACAAGAGAATTGTGGGATAGAAAATAAATTATACATTGAGTTCGGTACATGAAAAGGTCGACGTTTGAAACGCGCTTTCCTGGCATAGCTCGGAAAGATCTACCGATCCAAATTTTTCTGCCGCTCTTAATTAAACTTGACGTACCTAACTGATTCAAACGTCGCACCTTGAAAATAAATTTCAAATAAGAATAACGCTCTATCTTCTTTCAATGATACTAAGCACTTCATTTCATTGTTATCGCGTTACTTGTGCTCTTTAAAGAAGGATGCCCATACCTAAGAAAAACCGAACTGAGCTCAAAACACTATAAGCCTAGAGTAGTTTCCTCCATAAAACCAATAAGGATTATTTTCAAAAAAACTATTCTGCCCCAAACATGAACTTTGCGAGACTGAACTAACTGACACGGATGATATACTGAACGATGGTACATAAAGTTACTTCGAAAACTATGTTTTCCCATTTCCAGTTGACAATCAATTTGAGCAGTTGACCATCTTTTAAGTATAAACTGCATTTTATTATCTTTGACAGCCGTAGCTAAGATTTGAGCAGGTATAGATGGTCTTATACTTTCGTTCTATTGGTTTATGTTCATTTTTACCCTATTTTGTGAATAGAACACGACACCAATTTTTCTATATTCGTAGATAATGTGCAAGGTCTGAAGATGCCACAACCATTGACAAAAGAATATAAAAGAGCCTCCCACTGTGTAAGGTGGGTTTTGAGGATGCAGCTGTTTACGTAATAGGTATACAACCACTACCAAGATCACCACAACGCATTTCGCGTCACGAGGAAGAGATGTTGTGTACAAGGGAATGTTTATCAACAAATCGTTATGTAACGTTACGTTTTAGGAAGACACAAAGAAGAAAGACTGGTAATAATTTCTCGTTTTTATTAACAGCATGTATTAAGCATATTGACACAAGCAAATAAAAAGCCTCGGATCATCAAAGCAATAATTATTCGTTTTTACCAACAGTATGTATTAAGCATATTGGCACAAGCAAAAAACAGCTCCTGATCATCAAAACTTTAAGTATAACCAGGCAGCAGCAGCCAATAGAGTTTTTAAATAATGAAGTCACAACAACCCTTTCTAAAACTTCAGATTTCGATCCCACAACTTGAAACCGCATCCTGAAACACACCCTGATACAAAAAATCAGTGAAGAATTTCAAGAATTGGCGGAGATATGGCCAGATGAGCAAATGCTCTTGCCTGAATCAAACCTCTTTAATTTTGTGTCTGTTCATAATTTTTTAATAGAGCCAAATAACAGTGATCCGTTAGAAAATTGCAATTCTTTTTTTGGATACCTCTCACCCGGAAGTATTAAAAAGATTATTTCTATGTTATGTGGTAAATATTAAAAAATTGTTAGAATAGCTTTTTCGTGACGTCAAATTTATGAACACTATAGACACTCCAAACAAAAGGAAGAAAAACAATTCCGCAAGTTCTTTTTGAAAAATGCATTGGTAGATATCATTTAATCAATCTATAGTCAAGCCAATGTTTATTTAAATTTGCCGTCCAGGTTTTAATAAGATTTATACAATCATGCCTATGTCTTCTGACCAGCCAGCAAAATTTACTAGGCCGATATTTTCATTAAACTCACATTTTCACGATATAATCCAAATAGCCAAACTTCTTAAGAGTTTCTCGTAGTTCGTAAAGAAATCAAATATAAATTTTCGGAAAGATCCGGGGAGTTAATTTTATGTGATTTCAGCCCAACCGCCTTTAAATATACGGAAAGCGATGAAAAATACAAGGGCTGCAAAAGGGTTCAGAAGAAAATGCTCCTTACATGTCAAGCAGATTGCATTGTTAATAAAAGATAGCCAAACGCTTCTGTCCTATGGCCCTTCTCCTTTGAAATGAAATGAATCCAATAATTTTAAATGAATAAGCATATTGTGTGTGTGTGTGTTTCAGCGTATTATAAGCATCTTTTTAATAAAAAGCAAAAGCATTGCTTTTCTTGCATCTAACGTATTGAAATATTATGAAATCAAGAAATCACATTCCAAAGAGAGAAACTGCAAGCATAAAAATAAGCAAGGGTGATGCCACTGCCACAAGATTAGCATCACTTGGTTTGGTTGTAGGATTCAGTGTAGGTTTCAAAAAGCAGTCTTTGGTGACAATTTGTTGGCTTCCTCCACTCAGGTAGGTACCAACAACATCTACACCATTGATAAAAGCGCTGTGGATGCAATCGTCGAAGAAATCACCATCTCCACCCGTTTTACTGTAGCCACCAATATACACTGTTACACTCGAAAGATTTGGAGGCTTAACTAAAGTGCTTTTTATAGACAACGTGGGTTTAACATTGTAATAGATGTATGGCTTTTGTAAGCTATTGTCTTGCTTGATCAAAATCTCTTGAGAGATAACTGCTCCTGAGCTCACACCAAGGATTTCATTCCCAGTTGTCGTAAAACCTCCGGCAGTATTCAAATATCTTGCATTCAGAAATACTAGATATATAAAATTATTATCAATTAATCTCATTCACATAAAATCATGGTTGTAGAGGTAAATGGCGTACAAAGGCCAGCAAAATGCAATGGAACGTAGGACGCAGGTTAGTGATGCAGGCAATAGAAATTAACATGGGCAAAAACCTATAAGGTTGGTTTTATAAGGAGACTTTTTAGTAAATATTAAGTACATTCTGTGGAAAAGGGTATTTGTTTAAAATGAATAGAAATATTGAATATGATGCACTCTTACAAGACGTCTAATTCTAAATTCCAGTTACAAATCTTAAAAAAGGTGACAATGACATTTGAAGCTGTAAAAGACACTTTAGATCAATAATTTCAATTATTGAAACAGATTTGGACTTGGCGTTCATTGCAAAATGAAAATTTAATGTCTTCTTCCATTTCTTTGAAAGCCTCCATTAAACATATATCTAGGGATCTCAAACCCTCGATTTATGGCAGACATTAAAAATTCTATTGTTTCTCAAAAGCTCCAGCTAGACTTCATACATCCTATAAAAACAAATCAAAACTAAGCAATAACTAAGGTTAGGCAAAGTGCTTGACTTTTCTAAGCCTATAGAGCAACAAACCAAAGCAAAAAAACTAGGTATTTCAAACTGCAAATTTTGGACGATGGAAAACATCACTGAACATCACTGAACAAAAATGAACAATTTGGCCAAAGGAATAAACATATTTCATAATATCACATTAAACTTTGGTTATGAAAGTTCGTTTGACGGGGCTAATTCATAGTTCAATGCCACACATAATACCTATAATGGCAAATTAGAACTCTTCTGTCAAAATCATCCAACATAATCCATAACCGTTTTCAAGCAAATTAATAATTTTAGAAGAATAATAATGATAGCAAATTACGATATAAAATATTATAGACGAATAATAACAAATAACAGACGTCACCTTACCTGTATAGGCCGAAAGTTGCAATGCAAACTTTCCATCAGCATCTTCAATAGCAAATAGCACATTATTCTTCTGGCTAAATATTTTTGTCGAGAACTTCATTGTGAAATTTAAAATCACATTATTTGACTTCACAGGCGTCAGTTTGTAGGAGAGACCACATTTGTCGTCAGTTTTCCAGCAAGGAGTCTTTCCTACACCAAAGATAATGGACAGCAATAATAGGTTAAAAATGCACCACTGTCAGAAATGCACGTGTACCCACTTTTGTTTTGCTTTCTTCCGTTTTCTTTCAAAATTTGTTTGCAAAAAGGTGCAAATTTGATTTATGCTTATGACAGAATTAAAGTATAATCCAGCTATTAAAGTTATTAAAGTAGAACATTTTATACGGGACCGGCAGATAAAATACGCTAAGAGCAATGTGGCATTGCATTATAGCCTGAGGTTCACAAATTGGAAATCCACGTGTTTTAACTTGCTTAACTCAAGAATATAGGGCACTGCAACTCCACCGAATGTCACATTCCCCAGCATCCTGTTAGCATTGTTAAAGAAGTGATTTTTTGTCAAATATCATCCGCCATCTTTCTTTATTTTGATGACATCCATTTCAAGTCAGGCTTTCTTCTAATCTAACCTCTCATTACCCAGGATTCAAAGTGACTTATATCAAAGAAAAGAAAGTTGCAAAGCTAGGGCATGCGAGAATCCCTAATGCTTTCTATACATTATAAAACGGTATGTTTAGATCTCCGAAGAGCTGCCTATAGGTTTAAAAGCAAGGAAACGACAAAACAAAATAAAACAAAATTCAAATAAAAAAAGCAGAACAACTGTCATCGTGACCGGGAGCATATGTTGCAAATAAACGTCCGATGGGCGATTTTTGAAGATAACATGCCACCTATCTAGAAATGTTCAAGGGACCCTAAGGAACATAAAAAATGTTGTCAGTAATGTTGCAACTCGCACCAACGGCTTTTATGGGAAGTAGAGTAAGGATTGGTATTTTTCAGCAGGGAAAGGAGGCTGGAAAGGAAAACATCTAGCAACATCCGCTTAATTTACCATAAATACATGAAAATTTCACAAAGTATGTATTTCGAGAATAGTAAGTACCTTACCATTTTCACACATTAACAGGTCACGTGACTATCCATACATGGAAACGAGGCTCTGAAAAACTATCGCTTTATTTGCCTTTTTGTTGTTGTTAAGTCGTTCGTATACTTTTTTGCCTAATTTTTTTGTAATTTAGCGTTTGTAAGACGTCTACTTTTTGTTGGAGGTCACATGACCACCTTTTCATGGTAACGAGGCTGGAAGGCCATCAACTAGTGGCACGCCATTTGCACTGGAGAACCTCAAAACTGACTCAGAATATGTATGTTTTTCTACCGGGGCATTCCTACTAGAAATACAAAGGTATTCGTGATGATGATGCCATGTGATTATGGTTGCATGGAAACGAGAATCTGTTACACTTTACGCATAGATGACTCTAAATTCAACTCAAAAGAATAACATGATTTCTAATCTGCTCTACCCAAATGAGCTCAATCATCATCATCATCAACATCGTCCTCTTCGTCCTCCTCGTCTGACTCATCTGATTCGTCTTCCTTCTGCCCACGATTGTGGCCTTTGTCTTCATCGTCCTCTCTGTCCATGCATTTACAGAGATCTGTACAGGAAAGACCCACCTTTCGGCACTGACATCTGTTGGTGGCACATTTTTCTTTAGCACATCCACATTTGATCAGTTGAAGGACTGCATCAGCTTCAGTCCCTTGGGTGTCTTCCTCCTGGACTCTTGTAAATTCACGACCAAGAAGCCATGCAATGTCAAGCCTACAAGCAGATCAAACTCTCTGTTAATTGATCCAATTGGCACTAGGCATTCCATAACACCTGTGATATATTTCGGTAGAGCTTTAACCAAGCGGTCTTAAAGCGTGAAGTCAATAGTTACACTAGAGACCTTATCTTGAGCTTCTACCTTCTGGTATACAGCCAAAGCAGTGCCATTATAAATCCGCTTGCCATCGGGGTTTTCCTCACTGAAATCCACGTTATCGATAGCAAAGAAGACGCGTCGCCCCATTACAGTGTCGTGTGGTAAATAGACGCCGCCACTCTGCTCCATCTGCTGAAGCACACTTGATTCTATTTGTGCTTCTACCCTCATGATGCGATTATAGTCGACAGACATCCCAAAACTGTGCAACAAATTGACCAGCAGTTTGTTGGCATTTCATTTGTCATGCGCATTGCTTTGAAATTTTTTGTTCTGTACGTGACGATTGGAAAAGCTTAAAGAAACAATGTTCTGACTCCGACTCATTGCGCGCTGGGTCACTTCACTTATCTTTTTCTACGCGCAAAGTATGTCTTTGAGGCCCTGGATCACCCACCTAAAGAAACTGTAAAGGACGGTTGGGGAATGTTCATTAAACTTAACAAGTCAGCCTCGTTAACCCGTTATGGACGATGAAATTCTACACCCTATATAGCTCATTCTTGAGAAGTTGCTTTAATGCTTTTCTTTGCAATGGAGTAGTGGCCACGTTTTTTTCTTCGCGAACGAATTCATATCCAGATTAAAAGTCAGAGATAGGAACAATCTTTCCATTCTTCAAGATAAGTTCGCTAAATGCCAGAAATTCGATTTTAGCTGCAATCTCATTGACGAAATTATGGGTGCTCTCAGTAGAAGACACTGGCTTTCGCAGGACATTGGTGCAGGACAGGGTTAGCCAAGAGTTTTGATGATATTTCACATCGATTGCATGGGCATCGTTGGCGGGAATGGCGGTATTTAGTTTAACTTGAAGTTTCTCGTTGCCTGCCATAGCCACAGCTCTGTGAAACGATTCTCCAGCAGAAAATGTCCTAACATTAAATAAAGTCTCCCTATACCTTGCATGGCCATCACAAAAGAAGCAAGCATATTTATTCAGTGGGGATGTTTGAGGTCGAGTTAATTTGGAACTTCCTCCTATATCTAAAGACTTACGTCTAGACTCATTTGCACCAGCCAATTCTCACTCATATTTTTGCTGTGATCTCTTCAGCATCCCCGTGTGAACCATATCAATGCCATAAAGACGTCTTTTCTTTCAACTCATTTGGGGAGACGGCCATAGTGAGACATGCATCACTGCATGGACTGTAATTTACAAAATGCTGAATGCTGACCAAGAGTAGCCCCAAGAAAACCGCTGACCAATAAATATACTACTGCTTTTACCATCAGCTTTATTCATAAATGTTACGTATGAAATCGACAAAAAGGAAGGGAATTATTGTATTTTCAGAACAGTCACGCATTTTTTAAAAACTAAGATTAAAATTTTAAAGTTCTTGGTGATTATCGAGTCTCTAAGACTCATGCGCACTTCTTTTCACACTTTACTACCTCCAACATGCATTGCCACTGACAGCCTAATTGCTTGCTCAAGGTCAGCATTGAGTCCTCATTCAGTCTAACTGTACTGGTGAGCCCTGATATGGGGCGAAACCGGTCTACAGACGACTGCTTGAGGTGTCACTGGCTCTCTCTACTTCACACTTCTATTGCAACGTTGTGGGATCGCATACAGTCCACCGAAACCTAAGCACTGCTTTGCGATGCGGTTCTTGGTGACATTGCTCAAAGAGACTGTCGAGTCTCCAAAACTCATGCGTACTTCTTTTAACATTTTAAAGCCCTGTTTTAGATTTAGCAATTTTTAAAGCTGCTTCTTTAAGAGTTTGATGCAGCTGACGAGTAAATTTTGGCAGCATCTACATATGCTTGAGATGCAAATAATATCAGAAAATATTCGGCGTCAGAACACTAATATTAGGCAACCAAATAAGGCGATAGTTTTTCAGAGCCTCGTTTCCATATATTGATAGTCACCTGACCAGTAAATGTGTGAAATGGTAAGGAATTTACTATTGTTGCAATACATATTTTGTGTAATTTTTATGAATTTATGGTGAATTAAGCGGATGTTATTAGATGTTTTCTTTCTCAGCCTCCTTTCCATGCTGAAAAATACCAGTCCTTACTCCCCCCCCCCCCCCCCCCCCCCCCCCCCCCCCCCCCCCCCATACAAGCCATCGATGCAAGTTGCAGCATTGCCGACAACATTTTTATGTTCTTAGGCTCCCCTGAACATTTCTAGATAGGTGGCATGTTATCTTAAAAAAAACGCCCGCGGGATCACACAAGATCCCTGGCCCTGACTACTGAGAAAAGTTGTTTACAAGGGTCAAAATTAAAGTACATTATACCTGAAAGTATTTTATGGGCAATCAAGAAAGTTTTAAGACTGGTAAACAAATGTCTCTTTGAAGATACTGTAATAGCTTTGCTTTATCTTGCAACGACGACACGAAAGAAACAGATCAATAATGGGTTCAACATCTTAGAAGTTTGTTGCAAGTTTTTATAAAGCCTATTGAAAGAAAATCGAATAAAAGAAAAAATTAACGAGTTTCAAAGGAAACTCTGATCACAGTTGATTTTTATCCAAAAATTAGGTATTTAAGATAAAGGAAGTTGCTACAAACCTGAGTGTTTAGAGCTTATAACGGGCTTTTAAAAAGTCGCAAAGATGCTTTAACTAGAAATCTCTTAAAAACAGTTTGTTCTGTACATAACTTATACACACAATAGGCTTTGTTTAGTGGTTTCGCCAAACCAACAGCTAGGACTTACAAGAACTGAAGTTCAGATGGCTCATATATGAGTGAGACCAGCACCAAGAGAGCATATTTTTTCTTACCTCTTAAACTAGGTCAATGAATACAGGTCTAGATTTATGGTAAATAGAATTGAGGGCACAGGGCTAATAAAATCTAATAAAAACTATATTAAAAAAAACTTGGAGTATGAAATACACTGCAACACATAAGGGTTTCAAATATATGTAAATAGAATGTAAGAACAACATATTTTGAAAAGCAAGTCACCGTTGTAGTTTTCTTTTCACGGAAACTTGCTTGCTTTTTTTTATACCTTTTGAGCAATTTTGCTTTATTGTTGAATTTCAACAATATGTTTTACATAATTCGTGGAATAGCTTACCTAGAGAACTTGAGTTCTTGTCGTCGCAAGTTTGAGACACATTACTGAATGCACCAATGACCCCACTGCCTCTCACTGGATTTGTGTTGCTTGGGTATTGCTGGAAATATTTGCCGATAATGTCAATGCCTTGGAACATCACACCAGAAATGCAGCCTTCGAAGAAATCACCAGAATCAACACCTGTGGGCTTGTATCCACCAATGTAAAGTGTGGCATTTTCTAAATTCCATTTTGCACCTTCGTATGATTCCCATGTTTGCGTCATTTGCTCACTGTGCAAAACCCGTACCTGTATAGCCTTTTTCAAATATCTTGAAGATTCGTTCTTTTGAGTGAAAATTATTTCGAAGAAAAAAGGAAACCCGAAGTTTGTTGTTTGCATCTGCTTCTTTGAATGAACAATTCTGCCAGAATTGTCTTTTGTTGTGATTTTTGACCATCCTAGAATTTGATTATTCTTTGAATAAAAAGGAAAATAACTAAAATGTTCAAATTTCAAACGACACATTTCCAGGCCTAATATCGATCATTCTAGGAACAGAATTATACTTAACCACCACAGTATTTCCTCATCTACACGGTCTTTATTATAATTCAAGGGTGGGCACTCGTTTAAAGAAATACAAAAATCGCCTTTAGTATCTTAACTCAACACGCCTACAGTCAGTGGCGAAGCTAGCCAAAAATAGTTAGTCCTGCTGTTTGGACAGGGCCACTCTGCAATTCTTTTTTCTTTCAAAAACAAAAATCGTTTTGTAGATGAATTCTTCTATAAAGCGAATTGTAAACTGATGTTATGAAATATAGTCTATCTTTTGAGAAACAAACCCTTATGAAAAACAAGCAGTTTGATTTATCCTTACTCAAGTTCAAGGGACCGATTTTTTTAACACAAATATATTAAACCTTTACAGCGCAAATTGGTGATAACTAAATTTGACTGTAAAAAGGGGCCAGGGGTGTCATAAGACTTACTCTATGAGCCTCTGTTTCGCTACTGCCTCACTTAACTGACGCTATCACATGCACATCATATGCTTGTGGATGTTGAAATAATCTTATAGGACCATTTTGATCTCAAAAATCTGGTAAATGTATACACTTTCAATGATTTACAAATTAAAATACATTTAATGAACAACAAGAGAACAGTCTGTGCGGGCAAGTTCACATATTCTACAGTGTGCAGAACGATTGTTTTGCATCTTATAAATCTCCTTGATAGAAAACAAAGGAAATGAAACCTCAGAAGCGAACAAGATTCAATCCAAAAATTTTCTGATGGAGAATCCTATCTAAAAGCATTCATACTGTCTTCATAAGCCAAGCCATTAGACAAGTAAACAATTAAAGTTAAAAAAATGCAATTGATCCTAGCAGTCCAAGACTATTGACCAATCCAAAACTATACCTACAAGGGTGATTTCAACAGGCAAAAATTAATATATACTTATTTTAGCAAATGGAAATAAATAAAAACTGGTGGTCCCCAAGGTTCTGTCCTTGGTCCCCTTCTTTTCAACACTTCCATTAATGACTTATTCATTCAACCTAGTTCAAAGCAAACTATGCAACTATGCTAATGATACTAAGATATGGATTGAAGGTACTGATAAGGAGGAAATATCAGCTAAACTAGAACATGAAATCAATATCACAAACCAATGGTTTATAAACAATGCTATGCAGCTCGAGGGGGCAAATGCAAACTTATGCTAATTTGAGCAAAGCAAACAATGTTGAAAAATGTAGCATGTGTGTAAACAGGCAAATAGAAAAAGAGGAAGACAAAGTGAAATTGCTGAGCGTAAAAATAAACAACAAATTAAAATTTTGATGACCATATCAAAAGTATGTGTAGAGAAGCAGAAAAAAAGGTGAATGCACTTGCAAGAATAGCGCGTTATTTAAACGAAAATAAAAGAAAGCTCTTGATGAAAACATTTGTTTTGACATTCTTCAATTACTGTTCCTTGGTATGGATGTGTGGTACTCTCAGTTCAATCATAGAATGGGAGTGCACCACTGATCTCTAGATAAGTGGAGTGCACAGGGCAATCCTTGCAGTCCTGCACTTTGGCCTACGTAGGGTGAGCCCTCAAATAACTACTCCCTATGACATGTCATCATGATTATTTCGACGAGGTCCTGCCCTCCAGATTGGACGGGACTGCTTTTTGTTCTAGTCTATTGTGAAGGAGGATCAAATTTACAAAATCTCATTGTAAAGCAGGACCAAACATAGGGTATTATATTCATGAGCAGGACCAAAATACAGGGTTGCCATAGCAAGGGCAGGACGAGGTCTGTATCAGCTGGCGGAGCTTGGGACTGTGTAAGAGAAATTCGAACTTTCTTTTTGCATAAAATAAATATTTGTATTGTTTTCAGGAAATCTTAGCCTTAAACATTTTTGGCCCTGGTCAGCAGGACCAGCAGGACCAGCAGGACCAGCAGGACCAGCAGGACCAGCAGGACCAGCAGGACCAGCAGGACCAGCAGGACCAGCAGGACCAGCAGGACCAGCAGGACCAGCAGGACCAGCAGGACCAGCAGGACCAGTAGGACCAGCAGGACCAGCAGGACCAGCAGGACCTTTGGCTTCGCCACAGCCTACAGTACATTACGGACAAGAATGTCTAATATTGCATTACATCCACTTGTCTAAGTTAGCATAAATTGTTTAGTCTGAAAATTTTGAATTAGGTGATTCTAATTGCACATGAATTGCTCTTAGAGTAATTCTTGTTGCAAAGGAGTATCTTAAATTTCTCATCAAAAAAGTGTTATATTTAAACGATCCTCTGCAATCCCTCAAGAGAAAAATGTTAGTGCATAGCTTCCCATAGCTTTGGTACAGACATTGGCATGCCCATGTCACTTACCGTAAAGCTCTAAAGAAGAAACTCTCTGAAATCGAAATTTTGTTCTTTCTTTCGATAAACTAATGAACCGCGCGACGTACTGCCTTTTAGTTTTTTCCTCATATCTCCAGTACTGAAATAGTTAATGCAAAGAAAATCTGAAGATTGGATAGTGTAGCTTATTACCGTTATCAAAAGAGACTTGAAAGGCCAAATTTCCATTTGAATCTTCTACTGCAAGGAGAACATTGTGGTTTCGGCTGTATTGCTTGACAGAAAATGTGCCGTTGATCTTTAATGTCTCAGACAGGCTAACATTGCTGGTTGCCTTGTAGACAAAATAGCCATTCTTTGATGTCTTCCAGCCACTTCTGCATTCTAGAATAAAACATGCCAAATGATTCATGTCTAGCAAGTATCAATCCTAGATTAGCAAGTTAACTGAGCAAGAAAATAAGGGGTAAAAAATTTCAACAGACATTAACGCAACTGCGACTTTGTAATAAGCCTGCAGTGAAATTCTTTACTAACGGAATCCAAACATTATACCGTGAATAATTTTGTCTTGGAATATTTATTTGAGCAAGATCTACAATCAGGGACGGATTTAGCGGCAGAGAGTTAGTGGTGCGACACCACCCCCCCAAAATTTCTGTATCCTTCGGTAAATTTTGTTCCCTTCACTAAAACTCATTTGTTGGTAGTCAGTAGAAACAAAATAAGCCGAAGATTTTGTTTATTTTCTTATCAGTAGCGTAGCGGGTGGGGGGGGGGAGGAAACATTCTGAAAAGGCGTCAGCAGTCCAATCCTAAAAAAATTGGATTTTGAGATGCTTGTTGCGGACTTTGCTCCGAGGAGAACAGACTTAGTTTAAAACGTTTGAATACTGTTTATCATTTTTCGATATTTGATTACAACTTTGGAAAATTAATTTTTACCCTTAGTGCTTCCTCGCCTTTACACAATTCAAGATATAAATGTTAGTGGAATTGTGAAGGAAATAGACAGCTGTAGAATATGGTCAGCCACAAAGCGCTACACCTGACGTTGTATTAAGGGAAACTGCCACAAAAAAATGTCATAGCTTTTCCAAACGCATTTACAAAATGAATGTTTTTGCATATTCTTAGGGGTCTGGTCAGCAAATTTTTCTCCTCTTCGCCCCACCGAAATCCAAACCCTGGCTACACCACTGCTTCTTATCGTCTTTACCTTAAAGTTAAAAACCAAGCTATAAAAATTGACGTTTTCATCATTTACCAATGACCTGATGGGTATGGCACCAAAATTAGTGTCTAACCTCCCGCCCCCTCCCCCCAATCATTGTTGCTTTGCTCAAATCCGCCCCTCTGCGCTTTATGCCACAATTTATGAGGCTCTGGTATCCAGGGTAAGTTGTCAGTAGTGAACTAGAAGGTCATTTTAATTTGCTCCAACCACTCCTTTGGGATATTTTCACCACTCTCCTGCTGACAGCATATCAAGCAGAATATGCTATCTGCCCAGATGCACTACCTTCCGCCCTGCTCGACAACCAGGACCGCCGTCGCTTATTCTGTGTTAATTTTTTGGAATTTGAACACGTGAAAACTTAGAAAAACCTACTCATTTTTATAAAAAGTGTGCAATGCATTCAAATAAACGTGTCTTTGTTTCAGCCTTCTGCTTGATTATCAAATGCGAATTTTGCTAATATTTGGCAAAGTTATGTTTATTCAACGAGCAAACTTCCAAATTTCCTTTCAAAAAAATGTGAATATTCAGAATCAACAAGATAATAACTGTTGAAATCTTTTAAAAGTTTCCAAAAATATTAAAAACCGGATATAATTCAAGAAGAAGTGATATGATTAATTGCAAAAGGGCGTAGACCGGTTTAACGCTGAAAAACAAATTACCTGTGAAACATCCAATGCAAACGAGCAGAAAAAAAGCAACTACGTATCGGCCATACATCTTGAACGGTCGTTCCTTACTACTTCACCAAATAAATCAAAGTTCAAATACTGTCTTTTCAGTAATATTTACAACGATAGCTTCTCACAGAACACTCGTTGCCGCAACAGCAACTTCTCGGTGTGCAAGTTAGAATGTCTAGGCTATGTCTTTGTGATCCTATTTATTGTTGTTTTGTTGTGTTTGTGATGCTAGCAGTAAATTGCGGAACGCAGAACCACAGAAGTTGGAACTGATTTGTGTTCGTTGCTTGTTGTTTGATAAATATCTAGGCCATCATGGAAAATCTTGCAAACAAAACACTAGTACGGTTTATAAATGTTTAACTAAGTAATAAAAACGGCAAACAAAAGAACATATATCATGCTTAGGTACATAAGTTTAACAGAATATTGCTGATTGCCGTACTGAAAGAGCTCCGAATGAGCTTTCGAGCCATATTCTCTTAGGTGCCTGATTGCCGGGGGGTCAAAATAAACAGAGGGGGTGTCGGATTTTATGCTCAAAATTAATTGCCGGGGGGTTCCAATTAACAGGGGGTCTGAATTACGAAGTTATATATACTGAATACTCAAAATACACTTAAAATCAGTAGACTTATTTCACTATCATATAGCTATTATTTACCATCGAGAATACTTAGCTTATGTTACGCTTATTTCAGTACAGTAATTAACATAAAAGTGCCAAAATTTATTGGAAGAGGGTCCTAATAAGGGGTTGGAAAGATTTTCAAAAATTAATTAGCGGGGAGGGGGGTGGCAATTGGGCACTTAAGAGTAGACCCCCAGTGACGTGTATGAGATCAAGATAAATTAATATACATTCAATTAATGCTAAAAATTAAGAAACTATTTTTGTGACAAAGATAAAAAATAACAATAAGCAAAAAATAATAAACTTAATCGATTATATAAAAATAAAGGGGAAAAAAGGGGTTGTAGATCATTTTGGGTTTTAGGTGTATTTTTGAAGTAACAGTTATTTAAAAAGATGTGAAAAGGCTTTTTGGAAGAAATACTTTTTATGTTACTTGGTATGTTATTCCAAAATTTTATACCAGAATTTTTTATGAACAAAGATTTGTAGGTTGTTCTTATTTGAGGCTGGAAAAAGTTACTGCTAGTAGCCTGTCTGGTTCTAATATTAGACGAAAGAATTCACAAATGTAGCTATCAACGTTGTCTTTTGAAACTTCAAACATAAATTTAGCACATTTAGTTTTATATGTATCATCAAAATGTAGGAGGCCTAATGACTTGAAAGGAGGTGTACTATGATCTGTACTATTTTTGAAAAGAATTGATCTCACCGCGTGTTTCAGCTTTTTTGTCAAAGGGTCCAGATTATCAGAGTATGCTCCCCCCAGTAAATCAGGCCATAATTAATGTTGGGGAAATAAAAGAACAATGAATACTAAGCTTTTGGAAATTTTGAATATCTGGCTTCCAGGTAAGATTCTTATTTATCAGAACTCAAGGTATTTAGCATCATCTGACTCTTTTAACTGTTCAGCATTTATACAGGGGTGGCGCTAGAGACAAAGATTAAAAGTGCTGACGTTTATATTGAACGAAACTGCCGACTAAAATGTATCAAACTGCCGACAGAAAGATAAAAACGAGAATGCATGCATTTAGGCAATTTGCCTCGCAAAGAAACAAGAACGGTATTTCTGCAGTTTTTCTCATTGTAAGAAACTTTATCTTTCAATATAGCCTACATTCTCTTTCTTATAAGAATATTGTTTATTAGAATGTGTTCCAGACCCAGGCTAATTGCTTATAAGAATATTCAGGCACAGAAATATCCAATTTTTTGAGAATATTATAAGCCTCAGCTCGCGTTCAAGTTGTGTCTCATTTCTCAGCAGTTGCCTGTTTTTCACTTGTAATGACAGAATATTGCGTAACTGAGATATCAGATTTCAAAAGAAATAACAATACATTAAGAACATTAAGGCTCAAAACGAAAATTTGGTAAGAAAATCAAGGTTGGACAAAGTTATAAGGTTTTATAAAAATGATGTTTAATAATTCTTTAATATCTAATTCACAAATTATAAGAGAAAAAATGTATTCTTTGGAAAGATGGAATTTAAGAATTGATCGATATGTTCGTTCAGGTAGACATATTTTAAAATTTTAACGCAAGAAAATGTGCTCTCGATCGAATGTTTTACTGGCAATGATTTAATGTCTCTAATAGAAAAGGGAATCCCTTAACAACAGAATTCATTACCAAATAATTTTGCTGTTAGGGTACACTTTTCTAAACCTGTTGAGAACCTGATCCAGATCAAGTATCTTTGCTCGTTTTGCCTGTATTACAAACAGGGTCACCAAGAGGTTTTACCTGCCATCAAGGGCCCTGGGCAAAAAAGGAGGAGGGACCACGCTCTTTAGATTAGCTTTAAATACATTGCCGAATAATTTTTAAACTCATTTTATTGTAATCGTCTAAAACGTTTTAGGTATGCCTTTAAATTTTTGAAAGCACATTTTTGGTACGTTCGCTTAATTTGATTATTAAAACGGAATCATTACTTTATGAGACACTCCCCCTCCTAATTTCAAGCATTAATCGAGAGTCACTCATTTTGCTCTTCATGTAATCTTTTACAATGTGTAGTGAACTAAGCGATCGTATTCAGATGCGTTGCGAGGAACTGCTCACTGGGGCGACATGATATCACTCCGATACACTGTAAAGATGTTGAAACAGAAGAGTCATAAGCCAGCCACGGAAACTTTATTGTCGATGTTAGATGGGATGCCGACCTTCTCTTAACTGGATGAAGTCCATCAAGTGCCGACGGTATTGGGAAAGCCAAAATAGATTGATAACCGACGGGGGGGGCTAAATAATATGTTGGGGGCAAAGCCCCTGACCCCCTAGCCGTCACTTCTGCATTTATAGCGGCATTAATGGCTTTACGTGCCTTCTTATGTTGTGGCATTATATTCAAGAAATTATATTTACTTGTGTTTAGGGTTACTCATTAGCAGCAAGCCACCCAGCAATGTTATTTAATTCAGTACATGATATTTCTTCTAAGGTGTTTTAGTTTTAATGTGAATACAGCAAACCGGTATCTTCTTCAAACAGATTAAAATTTTTATATTGCAAGAAGAGCAGGGAGCCCTAAACACTTCCTTGAGGCACACTGTTATACAACTAGTTTTGTCTGTCGTGCATCGTGTTTGTGGTTCGTTATTGTTAATGAGAATGTCTTTCGATGTTTGCGTCAGTAATTTTGTTTGTCATCGTGCCATCTCTTTTTAGTTGTTATTAGTTCATTTGCCGTTAATTTGTGTCATTAGGGTTTTGTGTGCGTCACTCATGTTGTTAAAAGCGTATGTTCTTTGAGTGCAAGTCCAGTCGAGTCGAAGTTTTCGTTGAATAAAGTCGTCATTTTGTAGTTGTTGATTGCTGCTGATTATACGATCGCTATTGAAGAATCTTGGTTTTTTCAAAAAAAAATACTTTATTTTACATTGGTGACCACGACGTGACAACTCGCGACCTTCATTTGGAGCTGAAAAAATGATGTCGTTGGAGCAATCGAAGGATATTTTATTAGAGATCGTCACAGAAGTAATCGCTTATATGGCTGAAAAGATAAGGCTGGCTGAAGAAAAAGCAAGAAACCCCTTCGCCAACCGCACAAACGTATACAGAGGGGAGGACGGACGGCCTATTTGTTACAGCTGCTTACGAATAGGCCACGTTTCAAAATACTGCTGGGACAGGCGATATGCCCAGGCTAGTCACGTCAAAGACAGTATCAAGTTTGAGATCCCGCAGTATGTATCAAATTTTCAGAACGCACTGGATGGACTTGAAGCCAAAATGAGGGACTTGAGGGAATTAAATCGAGAACTCAAGGATTGGACAATGCCCTACCAGTTTGATGTTGTTCCATCAGTGCCTAATCATTCTTATGAAACGCAAGGCCAGAATCAGATGGAATCTTACGAGCACGTTTCTTCGCTTGGAAAAGAGATTTGTCATGAAAGACAACAAATGGCTAATAAAAGGGAATCCCTCCAAGAGAAACACAAACTTGATTGGAAACACGGACATTTGAAAAAAGACTACGGAGAACCGCTTAGAGATATTACATGAAGTAGCTGTATTGTGAACTAACTGTATTTTAAATTTCTTGTTTTGTTTGTTGTTCTATTTGCATTTCTCTCTCTGAATAATTCAAGCCAGGAGGCTTGTCTTTGAAGGAGGGAGTAATGTTATACAACTAGTTTTGTCTGTCGTGCATCGTGTTTGTGGTTCGTTATTGTTAATGAGAATGTCTTTCGATGTTTGCGTCAGTAATTTTGTTTGTCATCGTGCCATCTCTTTTTAGTTGTTATTAGTTCATTTGCCGTTAATTTGTGTCATTAGGGTTTTGTGTGCGTCACTCATGTTGTTAAAAGCGTATGTTCTTTGAGTGCAAGTCCAGTCGAGTCGAAGTTTTCGTTGAATAAAGTCGTCATTTTGTAGTTGTTGATTGCTGCTGATTATACGATCGCTATTGAAGAATCTTGGTTTTTTCAAAAAAAAATACTTTATTTTACAACACCATACTTAACATCCAAGTCGTTAGCGAGATCACCACCTACAAAAATTCTTTGGAATCTCTCATTTATGTAGAATTTGAATCACTCTAAGAAAAACTTCTAATAACAAATTATTCGAGTTTACGTAACAGTACTGTATGGTCAACTGTGTCAAAAGCTTTCGTAAAATCAATGAATATACAACAAGAAATTGTTTAGCTTCTATTGTATCAATTATCTTGGCACAAACATAAAAAGTAGACAACGATGTTGACTTTTTCTTTTGAAAACCAAATTGATAAGGATACAATGTCTTATTTTTCGAAAATTTAATTAGACAAAAGTACACGAGCTCCTCATCAATTTTATTTATTAATGGTAACAAACAAATTGGAAGGAAGGAAAATTGTAGCTCCTTGAGATGCTAAATCTCAAGTGTTCTAATATTTCTACAAATTGGCTAATGCAGATTCGCACCTCTTAGAAACTGATCCTTACCCAAACCCTATCCTTGTGTATGGAACTACACGCTGAGAGGTGCGAAACTGCAATAGCCCTTCAAACGCAAAGAGAATTGGATTTCCACGAAAGCTGCACAAGATTTCGGTGGAATAATTGCCGCGCAAGTAGCGAAGGGAGATTGGTTTGTGCTTCGTTTCTGCTAGAATCATATTTCCATGTATGCACAAGATTCATATTTCCATGTATCCTTAGTCTCTGCCTCAGTGCAATAGTTTGGTAAATGTAATAAGTTGTTCCTTGCCAAGGCCCTCAGTAGATGGGCTCATCTTTTCATACGTTTTACAAAAAGTTCCATTTGACTAGTTGGCATGTCACTCACGTCAAATATTCCCTGATTCTCTGATTCCCCGATTCCTAAATTGCACTATACCATGTTTGGTTGCTGCCATGAAGAAAAACTGATAATGAAGGATAATATTCAAATAAACAAATGCCAATAGAGAATAACCAACAGACGGTATATACAATTCCATTGAAAGCGTTTACAATGAGGTGAAAATTTGTGTTCAATCTTTAAAAGCCATTGATGCTAAGACCCACCTGCTAAAACAAATGCCCAAACAAATGCTTGGTGGCACACTGCACAATCTTTTGAAGGCTCTTTCTATAGCAGCATTCAAATTGCCAAAAATAATAATGCCTTTTCATGCTTCTAGGCTCCAATTTAAAGTGCTTGTAGGCACGTGCCTCGTCGACCGAAGTACGTGCTTGTAAACAGATCAGTATACAGTATTCAGCCTCGACTGCAGCTCGCTGTTATATTCCATCCAGTTGCAGAAACGATAAAAAATCACGGAAAAAGCATTGGAAGACAAATCTCAAATATACAAACTGTCCTTTAACCATTTGCTTTAAAGATTTGCAAAGAAACAAGAAATCATTTGATTGCGCAAAGACTTTGATTGCGCTCACTATATGAAGGCAGCAAAGCTTGTTGAAAGTTTAAAACTCAAGCTGCATGAAATGTCGATGCTGCCATATTATTATTCTGAATCTTCATGGACTATAAATAATATTCATTATATCTCGCCTAAAAAAGACATGGCAAGCGAATCACAGTGTAACTTTAAAAAACAATCAAGAAGGTCTTATAAAGGATCTAGTATTCACTGCACATTTATTAAACAGCCAGTGCACAGACCCTAGTTGAGAATGAAACAAAATATAAAATTATGAGGTTATGAGATGGATACCTTAAAAAAGTAGGTAGAATACCAAAATTCAAAAGCGAAATGTAGCTATGGGGTTAATATTGTATGTGCACAATTTAACCGAATTGAAATTCTAACAAATAATAATTTTGGATGAGCAGGGGTGGATCCAGGATTTTTGTTGACTATAGCTCAAATTGTAATAGGGGTTTTTATAGAATATATCCACCCTATCGCTATCGTCGAGACTAACTGGTCTTTCTATCGATGAGAAATGAAACAAAGATGCAAAATATAATGTTCAAAAGTCTTTCTTCAGATCAAACGATCTTTCCGCGATAAAAGGACCTATAAATATAATGTTATAAAGGTGAGGAAATTTTCGAATTTTTCATGATTCCAGTTTGTTGGAAAATGCAGTCATTGAATCAATTTCAATATCCACATGCCGAACGCTGTTGGATGGTTTTTATCGATTTTCTGGAAATCATTCTCGTAATTCGTACACCCAAACCTTAAGCATTTTAATGTGGAGTCAACACAGGGAATATGCACATATTATGTAATCAAAATAGGCAATATGGAAAAATCTCCTTCTCCCTAATTTATTATTATTTTAACAAAATTTAAAAATTGGCCATAATAATGACCGTAAATGTTTATGTTAATCCAGCCATCTTTGAGTACAAAATATGTGAACGTTCTCATGCACAACTGCCAACACATCGATCATTTTATCCAACGCTAAATTAATTTTTCAAAAATGTGAACCCTCTCAGTTTTTCAATATCAGCCACTCAAAATAATTCGCATTAGTCATAAGTCAAAAAACTAATATGGTTAGTCATAAGTCATTATTCAACTGAATAGTAATAATAATAATATAATAAAAATAATAAATAATTTGTTTAAAGTTGGCGTACTAAATGAACGTCTAATAGCTATAAAGAAGCTAATTAAGGCCAACTATCTATAAAGAATTGAAATAAAATGAATATATGGTACAATGTTAAAAATGTTTAATGTATAATCTTCGAAATAAAAGCTAACCTGGCAATAAATATCTTACATAATCTACAGCCGCATTCTACAGGGAGTGCTCTTAATTCTTGTTTTAAATGTTGCCAAAGATTGGGACTCTCTTATACTGCGAGGTAGTGTTTGCCACAGTTTTTGACCTAAATATCTCACAGTTTCTATACCATAAGAAGTTGTCCTGGCTTTTGGAATGCAAAGAATATTTGGAAGACAATTCTGAGTGCTCTTTTGTGGATTTTATTCACTTTAGCATTCAGACATCTGTCATGGAACGTCAAAATCAGGGGGCCGTAGCTAAACTGAGCTTTTATGGAGCTGTTCATTAGGGCAAAAGCCAGGACAATTTGTTGAAGATTGTGTTGTGTGACAACGATAGACAATTCACGAGGCGACTGATTTCAAACTGACTCAACCGCAGTGCATAAATCCAAATGAAACTACCAACCTATTAGGAGCACTCTCTTTATCCTTCCATTTTCTCGATGGCGCCTTGTAATTTGAACAGTTTTGCCGTGACAATAACAGAAAACTGGATAAGCAAACTATGTCCTAGCAGAAAAGGCAAGTTAAGGTACACTTACAAGACAAGTTGCCTCTTGAAATATGTCAATTCAGTGTTTTATTTGACTGACTGCCAAAGAGAACTGGATAACAGCCACTAAAAACAACCAATATTTACGTAAACTCTTGCTATTGTTGCCATCAACCAGGATAACAAACCTCCCCAAGTCAAAGAGACAGTAATTTGAAACTGCTTGAATCCCTTTGAATTTGCTTTTTCTGCTTCCCTTAAGTTTCAAGAAATGGTATGAATCTTGTTCAGAAGATGCAATTGCAGCTCGCTCGAAACTTGGGATAATAAAGCAGCCAATGGGCGATGCATTCTTTGTCATTTCGCTTCTCCCGGCATGTCACGTGGCTTGCTCAAACATTTCAAATTGACCTCAAATGGCGCCGATTCGCAGATCGATTCGTTGTTCCTAGCTGGAAGGTAGTACCGTCATCGCTCAGTCACCTTATTTCGTTCGCCCTTATTGAAATTTCTTCGTAGTGTCAAAATGGCTCGTACAAAGCAAACTGCAAGGAAATCAACTGGAGGAAAAGCTCCTCGCAAACAACTGGCCACCAAGGCTGCACGAAAGAGTGCCCCAGCAACTGGAGGTGTAAAAAAGCCACACAGATACAGGCCCGGAACAGTTGCTCTGAGAGAAATTCGTAGATACCAGAAGTCGACCGAGTTGTTGATCAGGAAACTGCCCTTCCAAAGACTCGTCCGAGAAATTGCCCAAGACTTCAAGACAGATCTGCGCTTTCAGAGCTCGGCGGTGATGGCCCTCCAAGAGGCATCTGAAGCTTACCTAGTTGGACTGTTTGAAGACACCAACTTGTGCGCCATTCATGCCAAACGTGTTACTATTATGCCAAAGGACATACAACTGGCCAGAAGGATTCGTGGAGAGAGAGCTTAATTCAACCAGCAAATTTCATCTTTGTCGATTAATTCTTTGAAAAAAACGGTTTTTTTAAAAACCACCATAAACACCAGAGATTATATTTCCCCAACCTTAATACACACGACATAGTCGACTCAGATCAGTTCACTTCATATCTACATGTACTTTTAAAACTAACATGTAATATTAAGTTACATTGGTACATGCAAATAAATTACATTAGTAGTTTACTTACAAATAATTTACATTTACAAATAATTTAATCTACTGGTAGTTACATTGTCACAAACTACCAGTAGTTAGTTGGTCATGTACTCTGTAGAATGGGAAAAATGAATCACTTTTTCATAGTGCTAGACTGAATTCAAGAGCATACAATTTATATCATGTGCACAATATTTTCAATTTGTGCTAAGCCCACAATGTAATACATATGTATGTATTTAAAATGTTGAGGTCACAATAAATATGAAATATCATTTACTCTATCTTATTCTGAATTTAAAACCATTAGGAATTATTATACAACTGCTGGCAAATTTATTTCATGGCAATCTTTTTAGTCACCAAATATATGGTTTTTTCAGTGTTACCAAAATACCCCAATATATTGTGGGTTTGCCCCAAATGTTCAGCCACTGCAAGTGTCGGTATTGGATTTCAACATGTGTAAGGGAAAAACATTAGTTATAAAGTATAATTTGCTCATTTCCAGGCAATTTTTATTACAGTGTGCCAATCATAGAAATCTTAGCTACATCAACCATTAAATGTTTACATTGTATGACACACGCCTATACTCTCTACTTGATTCATATCACAATCAACCTCAAAATTTCAGCAATTTATGGCACTGAACATATTGCTTGATTGTAAATTGTAAATTAACTCTGATTGTAAAAGTAAGCTTTAAAATTTTCTTCAAAAGCAACCCAACAGGTAACCACAAGCTGGCTTCACAAGAATAGACTAAATCTTCAATAAACATGCTTATTATTAAGGTCATTACCCATCAAGAACCCCTTCTGTCTAACAATTCTTGATATAAGTTTGGCTGCAAAGAGGGCAATTGTTATTTCAGTTTTAATTTCCCTAGACAGTGTAAGATAAGATGATAAATTCGATTTCTGCTACCTTCATGATACTGTGTATTTTCAACTTTGTTCTCAATATAATTTACTAATAATGAAATGATGAATCCTTAGATCGACTTGGTAAATATTGAAGCTTGCATACTTCATCACCAAAAATATGTGATATATCCATGTGTTGTCTTTATTCTTTTTTATGCTGATCATAGTCACATAGCACATCAAGGACCTATACTGTCAAACTAGTCTTGAAATTACTTTGGATGTAAACTGGCAATTGTTATTACAATTGGCATTCTTAAAAGTTACTAATAATACTGTAAAAATATGAGTTGCTCCAGACTTTGCAGAAAAAATGTGTATCTTCTGCTAATTTTATGATAGTATACAGTGGCAATTGTGCTTTCAAAATAGTTTACTATGCACATAACTTTAGCTGAAATGATAAATCCTGCTACCTATTTTGTAAATCATTTTGATGAAGGTACATCATAAAGAAAAAAGTGACAAATGCAGGTGACTGTGGGCCCACCAGCCTTGAAAACTCTACATTTAATTTCATGATATCAATGCAGCCGTCAAGGCTAATCAAGAACCGATGACCGACTTTTTGGTAGCTTTTAAAAAAGCTGTTTGTTTATATGGTAAACCAGGTGGTAAGTGGGAAACATGGCCCTCCTCCACTGATGCCATCTACTTCTTTGACTTTGCAGCCTTCACTTTCTTCCCAGCCGGTGACTTTGCTGTCTTTTTGCTGGCAGCCTTTTTGGGTTTGCTCTTACCAGCAGCTGATGCCTTCTTACCAGCAGCTACTTTAGGCTTCTTTGCCACTTTGGCCTTGGGCTTCTTTGGTGACTTGTTGGCTCCGCTGGCTTTCTTTGGTGTCGAGGCCTTCTTTTTTGCAGGGCTTTTCTTGACTGAAGTTGCAGCCTTCTTAGCAGTAGCCTTTTTCGCCGCTGCTGGCTTTTTCGCAACCTTCTTTGCTGTTGCTGGCTTTTTCACTGCTGCAGGCTTCTTGGCAGCGGCAGGCAGCTTGAACGAACCGGAAGCCCCTACCCCTTTCGTTTGGATGAGAGAGCCAGAAGCGAGCAGTTTTTTCAAGGAGGCTTTCAGGTTTCTCTTCAGAGCGCTCTCATCACCGAGACCTTTGTAATTAGATTGTAAATACTTGGCAATTTTCTGTCGCGATGACCCATTTCGCTCCTTCAGAATTCTGATTGCTTCCGCGACCATGTCCTTATACGCAGGATGTGCGGCAGGCTTCTTGGGCGCTGCTGTCTTCTTCGCCTTCTTTGGTGATGTAGCAGACGAATCCATATCACTTTCGAACTAGTGCTCCAACAATAAAATGGTGTGCGACCTTCACAAAGATTCAAATTCAAAATAGCCTACCTTCCGTACGAACCTATAAGCACTTGCAGTTAGGCGCCAAAACACACGTGACCATCAAAATATTAGGCCAACATGGCTGTCAATTTTGTGCTTCTTGTCAAAACCTATTTGCCCGTCTACACCTAGCCGTGGCAAATACGATCTTGGCCGCATTCAAATCAGCAATATTACGGTATTTAGTTTCATTATTATTCTTTGCCAAGGAGACTTTGGTGCCTATTGCAGCAAAATATTCGATATCAACTTGTATAGCTCAACATGCCATCAAACATTGTTTGATTATTTTCTTTTCCAATCGTCATAAAACCTCCCAGTACACATGCCAGGGCAGGTTTAAAAGGTCCATTAATTGATCGAACCAGCAAATTGCAGTTACCTTTTGTGATGACTATAAAAACGCTTAAATTGGGCCGAATTTGACTGCAAGAAGCACAGCACAATTTTCCCTCAACAAGTTGTTAAGTATTAATTTTTTACCCTTATGTTTGAAACATTGGGTAACGATGGAGGAAAAATGCCTATTCAAAAATTTCCTTTAGAAAAGTAAGATGATTTATTTAAAGATTTAGTTTTCCGGCAACTTTTTTGTCAGTAATAAACTGTGAAAGCTCATGATGAAGGGCAGAGCGGGGGTGGGGGTAGGTAGAAAAACTGAAGAAAGAAGGCTGAGAAAATCTGCAAAGAAAACCAGACATCTTTTGAAATTTAGGACGAACAGACTCTATAATTAGCAAGAAGCAGCCTATTTATTACATTTTCTCTGGCTATACCAACTCTTACCGAGGTGATCAGCGTACACGTCAATATATGAGGGCTGCATGTAGCATGTTTTCAGAACGACCAGATTTGAAAGTGGCCAAAAATACTTTGATTGAAGTAAGCTCGTAAAGAAAGATACATAATAGAAGAGAATTTTTAGAAAAGAAAGATAATTTTTAGCATAATAGAAGCATTAATTGACATAGTAAAGGTACTTGGTGATGAGCCACAAGCAAGAGTATACTGTACTGACTTCTAGTCAAGTTAATACCCTGGAGAGGCAGGAGGGACAGAGGGGGCAAGTAGCGCCGTTGAATATTTACTCCTAAGAAAATGAAATAAAGTTTTGTAGATAAATGATGACCAGCTTTGCCATTCTCATTGTGTTGATTTCAATTAGAAATACAAAATATGGAAAAATCTCCTTTTTGCTGTCGGTCATCGATTACGGCAAATTTTTTTCAGAAGAGGATAATAAACTTCAAACAGACAATCGAAGTCTTGCAGCCAGCCCCTTCTATTTATAACTGCCATGATTTTTGTACAACCAAAAATATGAATAATGACAAGGCGATTTAATATCAACTTGCATGGACAATTTTGTCAACAGTATGCCTTTGTGTGGAAGAGCTTTTGATTGCAAAAAACCCCAGCTGTATGGGTCGATGCAATGTTTGTACAGATCCGTGCCAATATTTTAATTTTGCACACCCCTCCCCCTGCCACCCCCTCAGCCCTAACAATTAATCGATTATGGTAGTGGAAAGATTCAACTATTTGCCTCAGCACCAACACTGCCCCTCCTGCCTTAATCTTTTGCAGGCGCCCCTGGCCAAGGGTGTAAGTCGTATTTGACAGTACTGGTCTAGGGAACTGCCTTTGAAAGTAGGAATTCCATCCTGACAACAACCCATTTTTGCTGAAAATAAACTAGTAAATGAAACTAACCGACCTTTCACATTCCTGAGCTCAAACCAACAATACTGAGATATCTCCTAAATCGAATATTCATTGGTTTGGTATAAGCTTATGGCCGGACAAATTGAAACTTGAATAATTAGAATGAAAACTTCAAAACTTTATATTATATATAAACTTTATATATCTAATAGATCTGACAAAAGATACATAACTTTTTGAGAAAATAGCTCTGGCTTTATTATTTTTACTTATAATATTTTCCATTTTTCATGCAAAAATTTCTGAGATAAGATTTAATAAACACCACATTAAAAAGGGCTAAATCAGAGACAACTATTGAAAGCCCACAACTGTAAAAAAACAAAGGAGAAAATTTAAAATGCATATTTAAAATAGAATGCATATTGAAAAGAAAACTTTCATAAACGCTCACCAGGAGTAATAAGCATTCACTGGCAGTGCTTTTAATATGGGCCTACTCGTTGGTGTAAGCCCGGGACAGGGGACTTGTGGGGGTATTCTAAATGTTATCGAAAAATGAGATATTTGGCAGATCAGATGGTGAAAAAAAAATTGCGAAAGGGATGTTTGGTTTATCTGACTTTCGAATTTCCAATGAATAAATAGCATTTGCCATTGATTGGAATCCAATGTGGGGGGTTTATTCGTGGCTTTACTGTTCATGAAAAACCAAGAGCCAATGTTAACAAATGACTGTTGAATGTAGAATATTTTAAGAAAATGTTTCATATTTGATATTTTCAGGAAATATTTCATATTTTGAAGGATGTTTACCTACAGAGTTGGTAACTTTTTAAATGTGATACTGGTTGAGGGGATGCTGATGAAAATGAGACTCCAACATGCATTAGCCTAAATGTTTTTAAAACTGGATAACTCGGTTGAATAAAGAAGCACAATGCTTATCGTGTGTGTCAAAGGTTTGGGCAACGAGATTGGTAAATTTGGTAGCTTTTAAAAAAGCTGTTTGTTTTCTGGTTGTAGACGACAAGCGAGGATTGTCGTGTTCGTGCGTCCAGCAGTTTACTTGCTGCTTGTGTACTTGGTGACGGCTTTGGTGCCCTCGCTGACAGCATGCTTGGCAAGTTCACCGGGGAGGAGAAGCCTGACGGCGGTCTGGATTTCCCTCGAAGTGATCGTTGCCTTCTTGTTGTAGTGGGCGAGACGCGAGGCTTCTTGAGCAATCCTTTCGAAGATGTCGTTGACAAACGAGTTCATGATGCTCATGGTCTTGCTTGAAACGCCGGTATCGGGATGGACTTGCTTAAGTACCTTGTAGATGTAAATCGAGTAGCTCTCCTTGCGCTTTTTCGACCTCTTCTTATCTCCAGAGGCAGCCTTGCCCCCTTTCTTGCCAACTCCTGCTTTCTTCTCCCCCTTCTTGGCAACCTTTGGGGCCTGTTTTCCTCCTTTGGCTGGGGCGTCAGACATCTTGCTTGAAATGAAGAAATTTAAATTTCACTTGCGAGAATCTTCGATAGATAGACAAAGCAACAGTGATCTGGTCTTTTGGCGCCAATGCAAGCTTTAGTATATTTGTGGTAAGCTGAGTGCTGACGTCGCCGCCAGTGACACCACGTCGATTCGCCTGTCTCGTGTTCGCTGATTATTGTCGCGGTCGATAGCGGGGGCTGTTGTATTGCCGTACGATCTCAGAATTAAATGCCCTTCACAAAATCGACCACTTTGGCGGGAGCAATCAGCGTGTGCGAACAAAGTCGTGATTCTACGGCAAGGGCTCATTGCGTTTCTTCATTGAGTTAAACATGTCTGGCACGCGGAAAAGGGTGGAAAAGCTCAAGCCAAGGCCAAGGTCGAGGACACCAGAGCTGGTCTTCAGTTTCCAGTCGGACGTATCCATAGATTGTTGAGAAAGGGAAACTACGCTGAACGAGTTGGATCGGGGGCTCCCGTCTATCTTGCAGCTGTACTCGAGTATCTCTCGGCAGAAATCTTGGAGTTGGCTGGCAATGCCGCCAGGGACAACAAGAAGTCAAGAATCATCCCTCGACACTTGCAGCTTGCAATCAGAAACGACGAGGAGCTGAACAAATTGTTGAGTGGAGTGACCATTGCACAAGGTGGTGTCCTGCCCAACATTCAGGCAGTACTCTTACCAAAGA